ACATCATTGCTATCCCTATTGGCGACAACGATATCTAGTCGAGTGTCGTTGTTGACATCACCAATAGCTACAGATTGTGGATAAGAGCCAGTTGAATACCTTGTTTGAGTTTCAAAAGAACCGTTTCCATGTCCAAGAAGGATACTCACATCATTGCTCAACCCACTGGCGACAATGATATCTAGTCGAGTGTCATTGTTGACATCACCAATAGCTACAGATAGTGGACCAGAGCCAACTGAATACCTTTTTTGAGTTTCAAAAGAACCATGATTATACGCAACAAAAATATCCACATGATCACGTTCATCGTAAGCGACAGCGATCTCCGATCGTGCGTCATTGTTAAAATCACCAGAAACCATAACTAACGGAGGTGTATCAAAGCCAATTTCATAACTTGTTTGAATTGCAAATTTTCCCTGTCCATTTCCAAGCATCATATCTACATGCTTTGTACCATGATTGGCCACAGCAATATCCACTTCACGGTCACCATTGAAGTCCCCAATTGCGATAGAAATCGGATGAGAATTCATGCCAGTACTGAGCATCATTTGATTTTCAAAACTACCGTTCCCATATCCAAAAAGAACGCCTAAATTATTAGTGCCGTAATTAGCTAAGACGATATCGAGATTAGTGTCATTGTTCAAATCATCAATAACTACACATCGTAGGCTAGAACCACCACCAGGTGCCAAGCTCATTTCATATGTAATCGCTCCTCTGTTATATTGTAGCAGGACACCCACATCATTGCTATTCAAATTGGCGACAACGATATCTAGTCGAGTGTCGTTGTTAACATCGCCAATAGCTACAGAATATGGATAAGAGCCAACTGAATAACTTCTTTGATTTTCAAAAGAACCGTTTCCATATCCAAGAAGGACACCCACATCATTGGTCCGCAAATTGGTGACAACGATATCTAGTCGAGTGTCGTTGTTGACATCACCAATAGCTACAGAATATGGATAAGAGCCAACTGAATATCTTGTTTGATTTTCAAAAGAACCGTTTCCATATCCAAGAAGGACACTCACATCATCGCTACCCCCATTGTCGACAACGATATCTAGTCGAGTGTCATTGTTGACATCACCAATAGCTACAGATGATGGATAAGAGCCAACTGAATATCTTGTTTGATTTTCAAAAGAACCGTTTCCATATCCAAGAAGGACACTCACATCATCGCTACCCCCATTGTCGACAACGATATCTAGTCGAGCGTCATTGTTGACATCACCAATAGCTATAGATGATGGAGAAGAGCCAACTGAATACCTTGTTTCATTTTCAAAAGAACCGTTTCCATATCCAAGAAGGATACTCACATCGTTGCTATCCTCATTGGCGACAACGATATCTAGTCGAGTGTCATTGTTGACATCACCAATAGCTACAGATAGTGGACCAGAGCCAACTGAATATCTTGTTTGATTTTCAAAAGAACCGTTTCCATATCCAAGAAGGACACTCACATCATTGCTAACCTGATTGGCAACAACGATATCTAGTCGAGTGTCGTTGTTGACATCACCAATAGCTACAGATCGTGGATTAGAGCCAGCTGAATATCTTATTTGATTTTGAAAGCCTTCGTCACGTCCAACAAGAATATCAATGACACCGGTATCATTGTTTACAACGACAATATCTAATCGATGGTCCTTGTTGAAATTACCTATGGCAACTGAAATCGAAGAAGAAGATCCGGTTGGATACATAATTGAATTTGCAAATTTGCCGTTCCCATATCCAAGAAGTATGGCTATATTGCCAGCGCCTTGATTCGTGGTGATTATGTCCAATCGATTATCTTGATTGAAATCTCCTACCGAAATGGCAATTGGAGAAGCAGAATTGATGGAATAGTTGACTGATTTAGCGAAAGTTTCATTATCATTATTTAGGAGCACACCTACTTCATGACTTCTAGAATTAGCGAGAGCGATATCGAGAAAGTCGTCTGCGTTGAAATCACCAACGACAATGGAGTATGGTTGAGAATCAATGCCAGTTGAAATGGTAATTTGCTTTGCAAAAGTGCTGTTGCTATTTCCAAAAAGTATCACAATATTGTTAGTGCCATAATTGGCAATGGCGAGGTCTAAATATTCGTCATTATTGAAATCTCCAGCAGCTATTGAGGACGGAAAGGAATCGTAACCTGTCGGATATGTAATTGGAAGCGAAAAACTTCCATTTCCATATTGATAGAATATACTGATACTGTGGTTTCCGTAATTAACTATGACAATATCAAGTAGTGTGTCATTGTTGAAATGAGCACCGATAATCGCTGTTGGACGAGAGGAGCCTGTTGAAAGTTCTGTTTGATTTGCGAAAGACCCATCGCCAAATCCATGAAAGATAACGATATTGTTAGTGCCAAAATTTGCTACTGCAATATCCAAGTAAGAATCGTTGTTGAAATAACCAACTGTGACCATGTAAGGACTTGAGTAGGAACCAGTTGAATATGTAATTGGACTTTTAAAAGTGCCATTACCATATCCAAGATAAACAGTTATCGTGTTAGCTATATGATGAGCAATAACCATATCCAAACATGTGTCATTGTCGAAATCACCAGCGGCAACAGATCGTGGGCCATACTTGTATTCAACTGGTTTTTGAGCCGTTGGTTTGAATTTGAGCTCACATTTTTGAACTAAACAACAGATGAAAAGCAGTGTGATGACTGATTGGTTGCTCAAGTACGACTATCACTGTTTGATCTTATTGGATCCTTACAAGTTTTATAGTATGCTGTCAGAAATTGTCGTATTACTGTATTTGTACGCAACTCAAAATCAATCATCTTTCATTAGAATTCTACTTAGTTTCTTGAAATTCAGATAGAGCTAGATATATGCGACTATATCATGCAAGTTAATTTTCTATTTCCTTTCTTCGATTTGCTCTAGAATTTGTTCAAAAAGTGCGTCATCTTTGAGAATGAAGACGAACATCAACGAATACAATATGACTGAAGAGTGTAAGAGTGCGCCAAACTGCATGATTAAATGTAATCGCTTCCACATTTTATAATCTCTTTTTCTAGCATTTACTTTGCTAAACGTTTGATATAAAAGATGAAAGTTTTACATTTTTACACGCTCAAACGGTTATCAAAATTATTGTGTTAGGTAATACTTTCAGAGGTTCTATTAGTATTTTGAATTAATGATTATATTAAGAAATAGAATATAAAAATAGACAAAACTATGAGGATAGAGAAATGGATGTGAATCTACTTGCTGAGTAATCATACACGAACAGCACAATATACGAGCGAAGAGGAAGAGATAGATGACGCACTAAATGACGGCCTTCGTTGTAAATGCAGACGTTAATGGTTCGCTGATAAGAACAACGAATAGGGATCGATAATTTTTGTGTGATACATGCGCAATTATTTAGTTCAACTTTTTATTTCTTACAATTACAAAACTATGACTTCGATCGACGTATTCCATCAGAAACGCTCGTACGTGTTATTTTGAGTTTTTAATTATAGATTCTTCACGTAATCTTATTTTATCTATAGAAAGTGGCTAACATATTAATAAAAAAGAACATACCAGTAGCTTTTGGTGAAGTGAAACAAACAGTCAATATACCAATACTCATTGCTATAATTGTGAATACAGCAAATGCACCTGCAGCAATTGAAGATCGATGTCGCGACCAATGCGGAAATTCTCTAATAAAGACATTCTATACATGATTATGATTGAACACAAAAGAAAATTATATACAAAGGTATCGAAGTCATTGATGACTTCTTTGTTGTATTAGTAGCAGTGGCACATTCTGCTGAATTAAATTCATTTTGCGTTGAGTTTTCACGTTGCTCATTGTCAACATGAGGATGTTGTGCAGCAGGTGAATCCTCAACTGAGATAGCATCATCACTCGTAGAATTTTTATTCATCTATAGTAAAAAAAACCAGTATTTAGTAAAAGATAGTTTCCAGTAAGTATTCATTGTTCACTAGAATACTTTTCTATAAATTACCTTTCGAGTTATCGATAATACCTTTCCTATGCTGAAAAGTTGCAAAGTCTTGAAAAATTAGAAAATATCTAAAATAACAGAATTAATTACATTAGTAATCATAATTTAGAATATTAAATGGTTACATGTTTGTTTTCTTTTGAAAAAATTGCTTCTTTCTTGGGTATGGATAGCCTCTTAATGAACACCAAAATAATCAGGCTATGTCAAACAAAGACAACGCTTCAAAAAGTTTCGATCTTATCCAAAAGCAAAATATAGATAGGTATTAGAAACATGAACATAGAACACAGTGTGAGCCAGTACTCAATGAGGTATGCTTTCACAAAAGTTCTTTTTTTGTGTCAAGTTGACTCAATGTATTGAACTCTATTTGTTAATACATGTTTTTCCTTGCAACTCGTTAGTTTAAACATTTGTAAACATTCCATTGGTAACGTTTTCCTTATTGATATGTCTTGTTTGTTGATAGTTTTGGTTTCGAAATCTTTTTAGTCAGTGAAAATATACTTTATTCATTAAACGATACATTCTATTGTTGAGTATGATTTAGACGTGTCTACCAATGAATTAAAATTTTTTTTTGAAAGTATTTAATTATTTCTATAAGGTATTTTGTCAATTGAATCATTATCGATCGAAGACTCGGAAAGGTTTTTCATTTCATTCAATCAACTATACATAACTCTAGTGATTCGACTAAGATAGTCATGATTATGATAGGATTCAAGCTGCAGATGTGATGACTATCTAAGACCTTATTCTAGTTATGGCATATCAAAAGTAGTGGCGGTCCTATCTCAATTTCGCATAGACAGCTTGAGAAAATTTTCGTTTTATATAGACTGATAGTACAAATAAAGCTCTACATTTCTACACTATTTGATCATTATTCATCCAATATTGTAATAATAAAATTTTCGTTAGACTTGTTCAGCTACAATTTGTAACGATAACAGTAAGGAGAAAATAGCGGAGAAATATTTTTAGAATAACTTTTAATGAAAATTAAGATAGAGAACTGCAGTTTTAATCGTTGGAAAGAGAGGATGAAGATGTATCGAATCAACTATATTAGCCTTTTTTAATGTGATTACTGAATTTTCGTCAATTGTTTTTCAAAATGTCGGGAAAATGTTTTTTTTATTAAAAAAAGGATTTTTTCACAGTATTCGCTAGGAAATTGACTTAGAGTATCGCCTAGAATACCGAGAACTGCTTAATCATGAAATATAAACTGCTAATATTTTCGCACTTTTGTGGATCTTGAATTCATTATTTGAGTGCAAACCTGATAAGTGAAAATTCACTGTGAATAATCCAAGGGGTCATGTTTATTTTCGAAAAGATGGGTCGAACAGCTTTTACAAATTGATTAGAAAGTTCCGTAATAAATGATTTAATGCATCTTCATCCCCTCTTTCCAACGATTAAAACTGCATTTCTGTATCTTATTTCTATCAAAAGTTATTCTAAAAATATTCCTCCGCTATATCCCCTTACTATTATCGCTATATATCACAGCTGAACAAGTCGAATGAAAATTTTATTAATTACAATATTGGATGAATAATGATCAACTAGTGTAGAAATGCAGAGCTTTGTTTGTACTATTAGTCTTTATAAAAAGAAAATTTTCTCAAGCCGTCTATACGAAATTGCAATAGGATTGCCACTATTTTTTGGTATGCTCTAAGTATATGTGAGCTAAATCAGGCAAAACCGGACATTTACACTTTTTTATTTGAGTTTTATTCTCTATAACAGTAAATTTTTTAGATAAATTCTATTAGCATAAACTTATATGAAAATGTTTGGTCTTTCACATGGTTATTAATTAAAAAGTAATTAGCGAATATCCCGCTAACCAGGTGAGAAAAAAATCTGAAAACTTCACGACAGACTCTAAGGCATAAGTTGTCTCTACGGTGAAAATTTTCAGCAAGATTGGACTTCAAAAAAAATATTCCTTCCGAAAAAGCCTGTTTTCTAGAGACCCTAAAAAGTGCAGAAACGAAAACTTTTCTCTTATCATCATCTTGAGACTCTGAGTAATGATTTGTAACGTTCGAAGTCGATTTCGAACTTTTCTGTTAGTTACAAGAGCATCTTCTCGGTTGTGTAGTCGTACTGCGTCACATCACTAATAACAAATAAACCGGTTTTTTTTGCATAATCTTGGAATACTAAGAAAAAATTTTGCATATAGATTTTATAGCTTCAAGAGTCATCTACGGAATGTCCTATTTAGTTTTCTAAAATTGTGCATGAAATTAGAGTTTTTAAAAACTAAAAGACATGAAGTGAAAATCGATGTCCTTTTTTGTGTCACATCGCTCACGTTAGTTTGCATCTAGAGTAACTTAATGTCCATGCAACATATAAAAATCGGATCTAAGAAAGCTCACCATCCCGAGATACACATATTTTAATTTTGTGAAGCCACATCGCTAACGAATGGTTTAGCCCATATATATTTTTATACTACTTTGACTCTAGTATTTCATAATTCGCTGACAACATCTTTGAGGAAAGGTTAGAAAGGTTT